CTGAGCGGCTGCTGCTAGTGTTTGCTGTCGCAGTAGTCGCCAGCGCCTGTCGGGGTAGATTTAGTTCTTTTTTAGCTCAAAACTTTTTTCTTCTAAAAATCACTCAATCTCAAACTCATTTTTCAAACAGTACCTCAGCCCAAATCGGGGAGTCCGGTGTAGTAGATGTCATGGCTGTGTATCCATGTTCTCCACCAATGTACACGAAGATTACCCAATTATGTGATGACTGTCTGCTGATGATCTTCAGCTATCTGCCACTGAGCGAAGTATTCCGCCTGCAACTGGTTTGTCATCGGTTCAAGACGATAGTCAGACTAAGATGCTCGGCGATGACCAGGTCACTGAAGATGTTCTCTAGTAAAGAATTCAATACTAATTACCACTCTTTGATGAAGAGACTGAACTGTGATAGTACGAAAGAAGCGGCTTCAACCGACAATGTTCTGCAACTGTTAAAAGAATCGTACCTTCCTTCGACGCTGGCGCGCCTTCCCAACCTGTTCCCGAGAGTCACCTCGTTGGTATTGGACTGCTGTGTAGGCGACTTCAACGCTTACGCGCTCAAGTTTTGGCACCAAAACTTGACTACCTTGTCAATCGGATGTTTTAATGGCATAAGGAAAAAAGTCAGAGATGAGCTACTGTGGAAAAACCTCGCTCCAATGACAGCTCTCACCAGTCTTACCTGTATGGGAGATAATGAGCCCAAAGTTAGTGATGATATGGTGACAGTGCTCAAACGACTGAAGATCTTCGTCGTTGACCAGTGTCCCATTCAGTGGCTGTACCATTTGGGCCCCAATCTGGTGAGACTGCACATCTACAATGGGAACCACGAAAGTTTAACGGGATGGGAAGCGCTACTGGACGATAAGGATTCTCTACCGAATCGACGTCAAATGACACATCTGCAGGTTGCCGGCGACCAGTCTCATCATTCTACCGAACACGTTCCTACCTTGTGCCATTATATTGTGGACAACTTTCCAGCTCTGACGCATTTGGATATCTCTCTTTTTATATACAAATCTGTAAGAAGCAAGCAAATCTCTTCTTTTGATTAACACCTAACACTAACTAACTATTCATGGTTTTTATCCGTTTAGTACCTCTTGCCCTGGAAGGAACTGGTCGTCACTCTTGGTCAGCTTCCTCAACTGACACACTTTACGTTGAATAAAAGGGCACTGGTGGACATGTGTCAAGTGAAGCCTTTAAAGACGATCAAAGCCATTTCTCAAGTAACCACCCTGCGACTGATAGATATCGATTGGGAGCAATTGCAAGCCTTGGGCTTTAAGGAAGTTTTCGAAACACTCGCCCTCTTCTTTGTCAATCTAAAGCACTTAAAAGTTCTCTCAGTCGAAAAAAGCATCGCACACGAAGATACATTTGTTAATCTAGTACGTACTCTTACTAAATGGAGCGTCGACGTTGAGTATCTCAGCAATCTAGTATTAATTGAACCTGATTACTAATTACTAGTTCATTCATTCAGCAAATAAAGGCCACTTAGTTACTCAAATTATCAGTGATGATCTTTATTGTGCTTTAAAGTAAAGAAGATAGATAATCATTGCGGCGCTTAGATCTTCTGGAAAGCGGCAATGTCCACCGACTGGACAAAGTCTTCGAAAGACTCGATCTTCTCGGAGAGTTCCTCAATGGAAACCTTGGCGTCTGGATTTAGAAAGAAAGCAACCACGTAGTGAGTAAAAACAGAGGCAAAAGTAAATCAATGCTTACCCTCCACAACGCAAACAATCTGAAGCTTCTTGATGCCATAGGCAAGAGGAACCAACTTCGACACACCCCAGACCAGACCGTCCATCTCGATGGTGCGAACGGCCTTCTCCAGATCTGCCATGTTGGTCTCATCGTCCCAGGGCTTCACATCGAGGATGACGTTGGACTTGGCAATTGGTGCGGGTTCTAAGTAAAAAACATTGAGTTTCGAGAAAAATCACTTTTTAGTTTTTTCCCTCATCACTTACTCTTGGATTTCTTGGCAGCATAAGCAGCCAGGCGTTCCTGCTTCAGCTTTTCCGCAGCCTCGTCTACCTCATCGTCCGATCCGAACAGATCGACGTCATCGTCGTCGTCGTCAGCAGCAGCAGCCTTGCCAGCAGCAGGAGCTGCGCCACCAGCGGTGACACCAAAGTCGGACAGGGCCTTCTTCACACCGGGCAGCTTGGACTTGCCATCGCCGAAGCTCTTCAGATGGTTGTACCAGCGGAGAGCATGGGGCAGACTGGCAGCCGGGGCCGACTTGAGGGCACTGAAGACGACCACGTCAGACTGCGATGCAGTGTACCTGTGGGGAAACACAAGAAAGAAAGAAATGAGTACCAAATGAGCAAAACCGGCACAAACAGCGTGCGTACCCTTCAATGTAGCTTCGAGAAGCGAGGTAATCGTTCAGTTTGGCCAGACCAGCCTGAGCGTTGATGTCACCGCCGATTTGAAGAGCCATTGTTGGTTTAGAGGAGGGAAAGAGGTGTGTTTGGTATTCCAAGTGATGGAGAGGACTTGCAAATGATGCGTCTCAAAAGTAGCAGCCGGCTTGTGCGGTGGCGAGAAGGAAAAGGCAGAGAAAGAGCGAAGGAACACGTGTCGAGGCAGGACAAAAGAGTGAGCAGCTTTTATGGCAGAAAGATTGCTCCATGGTTTCAACTTTCAGCCCACAGAGGGCAACATCATCGGAGATTTTTTAGATGATCAAAAACGATCTGATTTGATTGCAGCTTTTCGGCAGATTAGACACTTGATGTAAGAAGCTTATCTTGAAGGTATTATCTTTTTATATGAAAAACAACAAGGCAATAAATACCTGAACTAGTCCAGTCATAAAACGGTTTTAGTTTTTTTTCGCAGCTCAAATCACTCACCAAATCTGCACTGAGGCTGGAGCATTCACCCGAATGCTGGCCATTTAATTGGTATTTAGATCTGTTGCACAATTTGTTTACTGCAGTGCGACCAGTGCTTCCTCCTTCTATGATCCGTCGGTAGCCATTGTATGCCTCCTTTCCTTTTTTCCTTTCCTTTCCTGGCCACCATTGTACAATCGTCTCAAGTGTTTCAAGTTTATGTCATGTCAGACAGCGAGAGTTTACCGTTAGGCAACAGCAGCAGCAGCGTGATCGACGACAACGGCTAAATAAAGTGGCAATTGCCTAAATTCAATCGATGGCCTGTAAGCCACCTGCGAAGGTGGCCGCTTGCTCAGCAATTAGCTCTGTAATATTATAATGTGTTCATAGAAGTGCATCGTTCGTTCACGCTTGCCTAGCATGTGCTGTGTGCTGTTGTGCTGTTCGTTCATCCTTCTCACCACATCATCTTGAGAGAGGTGATTTGAAAAACCTTCGCGCGCTCAGCAAAGGACAACCTTCCCCTCTGCATCGTCCCTTCTTCTCCACTTTCTTCCTTCAGTAGAGTGCAATCGCATTCAGCCATTGCAATGACTTCTTCTTCTTCATCATCAGCATCCTTGCCACAACCACTCCACAGGTATCACTGATGTACACACTGCAGGTAAGAGCAGACACAACTCCTCTTCTTCTTCTTCCTCTCCTTCTTCTTGATCTTGATCTTATCTCCTCCAATGTCTCGTGGTGACGGTGGCAGCGGCGGTTGCACACCAGTTTCCATTTCTTGCCACTTTACAATTCAACGTTGATAACGTTTTCTGCAAAAAGAAAGTTTCATTCATTCAGCTCCTGATCATCGTTTCTATTTCAGTTCCTCCTTTTCCCTGGCAACAGCTTATCTCCTTCCCCTTACCTCACCTCACCAGATCTTTTCCTCTAGAACTTCGAGTAACACTGGCAGTTACCACACCGATGGTTCAAAATTCATTTCATCTGCAGTTTGACTAAAAACTGATCGTCCAATTCTGAGCCACATTTTACCTTGCTGTCTCTTGATCTCACCTCAAACAGCCTCACTCAACTATGGCCAAGTGCAGAGGTTTGTGCTACTTTGGACCTGCTTGAAATTTAATTATGTTCATTTTCATCTCATGTATCAACTTTACTTTTAGCCATTTTTTTCGCATCTGCATTTGTGGCATTTTTCTGCCTCACCTTTGCACCATCGAACATCTTTGCGTCGCCCAGCAAACAGTGCCTTCAGTGCATCTGTGAGGTAAGATTCTGTATTATCAAAATTTAGTTTACAGTTTAATGTTATTTTTACAAAATTGAATGGAACGTCCTTGAAAGTTGAATTGAAATTGATTACTTACTAAAAATAATTTTGTTATGGTAAACAGTCAGTTAGCGTCTTATGAATAGCTTTTCAGACAGGTAATAAATTGTCTTTTTGCTATCTCGTTTGCAGTCGATAAGGATGTCGATTTAGGATAGCACATCCGTTTTGCATTATTGAAATTTCTAATGACTAATCTGAATGCGGTGATCTGCACCTTCACACAGGCCTCCTCAGGATGCAAGCCCAACATTCGCTGTCACAACACCGGCAATGGACAGTACTTCTGTGGCCCGTACCAGATTTCATGGTATGCCATTGTTTTAACAATCAAGCACAATTCATTGCTAAACCCTGACAATATTTCAGGGCCTACTGGGCTGACGCCGGCAAGCCCGGCTCAACTGGCTTCTCCAATGACTTTGAGAACTGCCTCATCGACAAGAACTGCGCCGAGGCGGCCGTCCGAGGGTACATGGCAAAGTGAGTGAAACTGAAAAATTGAAATTGTGCAAACACTTACAACTAACCAAACTCATCATCATCACTGTCACAGATGGGGAGCCGATTGTGATGGTAATGGACAGGTCGATTGCTTCGACTACGCTGCCATCCACAAGGTAAGAGTACTACACATTTTGTTAGTAGCTGTATGCAGTACTATATGACTGACCATTTGCGGCAGTGATCATGACGACAAGCGCCCAACTGACCAAGTGCTTGAATGTATGCTAATGAGTGGTTTGGTGGAATTCTACTTCTACAAAGAGTAGTAGTTACCTCAAAGCTTCACCAACATTTTGTTTACCAATTAGTCAAACACTTCACTTTCCCTTCCCTTTCCCCCTTCAGACTGGTCCTGGTGGCTGTCAACAGCAGTGGCTGCTCAACAGCAAATACTGGAGTGACTTTAAGCAGTGCTACACGGGCAGCAGTGTCAACACCAATCGACAGATCTTCAACGCTCCTCAGCCTCAGCCACCACGGGCGGCCATCTCCTCCTCTGTTCCGCTGGCCAACTCGCAGCCTTCCTTCTCCTCCTCCTCATCTTTCAGGGCCATCCCTGTTGGTGGTGGTAATCCCAGCGACACGAGTACGTTTTCCTGAATATATCATCTGTCAAACTCACTGTTAACACCTGTCACACAACTTCCCCCATCTGATTTAGTAATCGAAATTCCGAAGCCACTGGTATCCCGTCCCCCTGGGCGCCTTTCCAGTGCCACCTCCTCCTCTTCTTCTTCGACCGCTTTTGGCAGCCCATCATCAGGACCGGCGTTCGCCTCCTTCTCTTCTTCCTCGTCCTTCTCACGACACAACAGTCACACTGAGGTGGAGATAAGCGAAGAAAGTTCTAGCTCCAATACGGTATCCTCTTCAACCAATCGAATTGCTCCGGTAAGAAAGCTTTTGTATTCTAAATTGTATCAATCATTTTTCTATTTTGATATAGCCTTCACTTCCCGGTGTGACCGCCACCACTACTCACTTTGCTCCACTTCGACCCCTCCAGCCCTCCTTTCCACCTCTTGCCCCACCCCCAGCACCAGCTCCTGTACCTTCCATCACCTTTTCCTCTTCCTCATCCTCATTACCATCGTTGCCCAGCTATCCACCGGTTTCTGCACCAAGTTCCCCTCCTCAAGCAAATCCATCTCGGCCGACGACACTCTTCCAAACACTGCCCAGACCCCCGGCCAACTTCAATCCAATCGTCCCATCAGACTGTCTAGAGTGTTTGTGCCAGGCGAGCAGTAAGTGCTCCAAAACAGGTTGCGAAGGTGAGGATTCAAAGGAATTGAGTGAATCGTACTACTTTTGGTTTTATTTTTTACCAGGTGCCTATTGTGGTCCATTTCTTCTAAGGTATGAATAGTTTGTCTAGAAACTTTTTATTAAAATGAGCTTTTGACTGAGCAGTTGGGGATACTGGGCCGACTCTGGATCACCCGGCAATGGAGCCAACTACCCAAGTTGTGCAAATAATCGAACATGTGCCGAATTGGCCGTTCACGGGTACATGAACAAGTGGAACAAGGATTGCGACAATGATGGACAGATCACCTGCAATGGTAAACAGCCTTAATACTAATTGAGAATAACTTCATACTCAAACTTAATTTGTTTGCACAGATTTTGCTTTGATTCACAAGTTGGGCCCACACGCTTGCGGCAAGACGGAGGCCATCAAGGACACCGACTACTGGCGACGATATGAAACGTGTCGTGGAGAGGAGAATGAAAGTAGTAGCAATGACAGTCCGCTGCTGATCTCTTCAGTGGGCTCAAACGCCCTTCAGCCTGACCTGTCTACTGCGAACCGATTCGCTCCACTGCCACAACCACCGCCGCCTCCTCCACCAAAACCGGAAATTGAAGTTGAAGAAGGTCCATCGAATCCACCACTGGTCGACCAGCCTTTGTCTCGGCCGGCACCACTGTCCACCGGCAATGCACCCGAGACAATTCGCATTTCCTTCAACAATCGAGAAATCGTCAACATCAACGGCAACACCAACAGACTTTCTCAGCCACCGTCCTACGCTGTGCCGCCTGCAACCGTTCACAGTCGCCCCCTTGAAGCTGAACAGCCTTTGCCGGCCATCAGCGATGCTGATGACAGTTTGGCAGCCATTCCCGAAACCAATGACAACTTGAATGTCATCAGCAACTCACCGCTGGCGAGGGCATCGCCACTGCCGGCCGCATCACTCTACAACCCGGCTGCAAATAGAAATCAGCCACAACCGCCACCACCACCACCACAGCCATCAGTGCCCACTTACAAACCTCTTTCGTCCACAGAGGCACCCTTTGTTGAGGTGCGACCCTCCTCTCCAAACACTGACTACTATGACAGCCCAAGAGACAGCAGTGAGGGCAGATCTTCACCTCTGTCGGCATCGCCCTCCTTAGCCAGTCAGCCATCAGAGCAGCCATCACCGACATCAAACTTGCCAACCCGATCTGATAGTCTGGCACGGGGCAGATCGGTGGGCGGCTCAAACAGCAGCTCCGTTTCTAATTCAATCGTCCCACAGGACTGTCTGGAGTGCATTTGTCATGTAAGTTCACTGCCTTGAAATCTGTTACCTTTTTTTGTCAACAAATTAAATCAACATGGACAATTTCTAAAACAGGCTAGCAGTCGATGCAACAACAACGCCGGCTGTGTCAGCGATGGCACTGGCAAGTTCATCTGTGGACCGTACCAGGTGGTATGTTTAGAATTAGTAGTGCTAATATTACAGTTTTAATCCCTTATTATTCTCTTTCAGGACTGGGAGTACTGGACAGAAGCGGGCAAACCGGGACAGCGCGCTGACCTGTCAAATCTGGAGAACTTTCAGCAGTGTCTCACCAATCGCCAGTGCGCCGATGAGACTGTACGCGGCTACATGACTCGCTTTCTAAAAGACTGCGACGAAAACGGCGTCCGAGATTGCAATGATGTACGTGCTGGGTGCTTGACAAAAGATGACGGAAAAGTACAAAACTAACTTATTTGTGTTTTTTCCAGATGGCAGCCATTCACATAGCCGGAGCGCGAAATTGCCATGCCCAGTGGTACCTCGACTCGCAGTATTACGCCGACTTTCGCAGTTGCTACGACTTCAGGCGTCGAAAGTGAACAAANCCCAGTGGTACCTCGACTCGCAGTACTACGCCGACTTTCGCAGTTGCTACGACTTCAGGCGTCGAAAGTGAACAAAGTAGCCACAAAACAACACAGAGAATTTTGAGAATACTTTCGGTTTAATGTTTTTGAAACCTAACTATGATGATGATGATGATTTGCACATGTGCCAACCCGAAAAACCTTTCCCTGACACACACACTGCACAAAACAAATGAACAGGGATGGTTTGTGATAGAGAGAAAGAAAGAAACAAAACTCAAATGAAATTGTTGAACAAAAAATAAAATACAGTAAATGAGTGAACAATATCGTAGAGTTTAGACATAGTCGCCACAGTCGATAAACTGCTGCAGTTCAGGAGGAAGTTCAATTTGCCGTTGATGTGCAAACTGCTGCAGTGATTCAAACTTTTCCTTGTAGGCGCGAATATCTTCTCGTGCCTTAATTACCGCTTCGTCCATATGGGAAATGTAGTGCACGACATTGGTCTTTTCACTCTCCAAGTCACCTGAAAGTAAAAAAGTGGGGTTTAAAATTGATTTCATGTTTGGTAAGGCAATGTTTACCTTTCTGCTCGAGTCGCTTGTTTCGACATGACGCCGCGTAGCCTCGATTCTTCAGCGTTCTCCTCCGTTGCTTCATCTTAATCATCTCCGCCTTTGACATGCCTGACATTTTTAGCTGCCGGTTGAGCTCTCTGACGGTGAGCGTCACCAGGAGGTCGTCGGTGATGGGCCCCTGCACTTGCGGCATGGCGCCCGAGCCGGTGGTGTAGCTGCTGAGTTTGGAGTTGCTCGAGTCCATCGAGTCGCTCTCGTCGAACTCGTCGTCGCTCTTGATGAAGGATAAATTTGCTTCCGCCAGGATGCCTTCAGGGTTTGCTGAGTAGGTATGCTTAGAGGAGGAGGATGACAGCTTTGATGGCGGTCTTCGGATCACAGAATTCGGACTTGGAAAGCCTAGATCATCCAGCTCCTGTTTGATGGTCTGCAGTGCTGCTGCTGTGCTGATGCTCGCGATTGCTCGTTGCTGTTCTTTTCGGTCCCCAAAAGTGAATGCTATTCCGTCGTCGTCGTCGTCGTCAAACTTCTCTTCTTTTATCTTTTTCGGTTGCAGTTGTTGTTGCACACCAGTCTGCTTCTGCTGACGAGACTTGCTTCTGCTAGAGACAGTCTTGGCACCGGCAGTTTTCCTTCGCTTCATTATCATAAAAGCACTACCACTGAAAATCAGCAAAAATGAGTATTGTCTTTTGCCTCTATTTTTCGCCTCCTTCTCAGGTACACAAAACGGCCGTTTTGCTGAATAGTAATAAGTTGTGCTGTCGACGTTCTGCAAATTGAATTAATAACCACACAATGACAATGATGACGTTTCAAATGAGCGCGAGAAAGGGGCCCACAGGTAGCAGGACGAAGTAGACTGCCGATTCGAAGTTGTAGCAGTGGAGGGGGAGAAAGAGAAGGAGGAACGATGATGATTTATGGCCTCGTTAGCAAAAAGAAGTTCTCTACTCTCGCTCAGTTTTCATCCGTTTTACTCCAATTCTGATCAGCAAACGGTTTTCAAAAATGTTGGTGCCACCTTAGCTGTCAGAGGTCATCACTGGTCAGCGGATGAGTGCTGCCAAAAGGTACACTTTAAAAGCAAATTGAGTGGAACAACGAGTGGGACAAACAGGCGACGCTTGGAAGAGAGGACTTGTTGAGATTGTTGTTGTATTTATGCCAAGTCATGCCGTGTTTCCTCTCTATGTTTTGGTGCTTGCACGATGATTGCATTTTTTTGCAGTGCAGACAACTTTTTTTTGCCAAATGGTCTATTTGAACTCCGTACGTTTTTTGATTGTGTCGAAATTGGAAAGCTTGCACCTTCATTTTCGAACACAAGAGGACACTTTGGTTTGTCAAAATGGCTCAAAAATGCAACAGGTGGAATTGTCGATTGATTCGAAGAGAAAACGCACTATGTTTATTGGGATTAGTTTGTTTGCCTGCTTGGTTTACAAACAAAAAAACTTCCTACACTAATGAACAGCTCTGTCTCGCCACTGGGCGTAGTCTGAAAAAAAGTAGAGTGTTCACTAGAATTCGCTCATGTGCTCTCTTTTGTTATCTTCAGTTCGTTTCCACAAGTTGCACGGACATTAGTCAGCATTAGTGGTGCTGGCATTCGGTGGTTTGGCTGGGCAGATGACACCGTCTACTGGAAAATGGGAAACAGACAGACAAAGAGGAAAACTCGAAGCGAAAACTCGTGTCTTGGTTGCTCTTCTTCTCACCTTCGCTTGCATCATCATCGTCTGTGTGTGTGAGTCATTCTTGCCGAATAGGAATAGTTGGGCGAAAGTACAAAAAGGCAAGGCAATTAATTGAGTGTATGGTGCCGTCTGTCTGGCCGAGGGGAGGGAGATTACCGCTGACCACATGATGGAGAGGGTCGAGCACTGTCTGTCTGTCGGTGGTGGTGGTGCCGCACACATTAGCGCGATTAGCGGCAATTAATCAACTTTGGTAATGAGCGGCGGCAGCGGCGGCCAACTAAAAGAATCCGTGATTAGTAGAAAGTGCAGTGCTCTCAAAGGAGAGCAGTGAAGTTGCCATAAGTTACAACAACAGTGATGAAGCTTGCGAGCTCTGAATATCTTATTTAACACCTTGGCTAGATGTGGAGAAGAAAGCATTTTTCGGCGTCTGATCCTTCTCTCAGTCGGGGTCTGTCGCCATTGAGCATCCCCATCGATCAACAACTACGACAAAGTGTGATGCCCACTACCTCTGTTTATCTGCCAAACGGCTGGCCACCATTCAGTTGGTAATCTCCATTACCAGCTGGTAATTGGCCATCCACCCCTAGTACAACAACAAAAGCAAATTGCTCTCATTCCACTGCACTGATTTGAGGTGTCAATTGCCCGGCTGGGGGTGATGACTGTCAGCAATGTGGGGACAATGAAAAGAGGAGGAGGAAGAGGGCTAAGAAGGCACAACCAAGCGGCTTTCTCGCGTCTGGTGGTCACAAACACACACATTCTCTTTGGCGGCATCACCTCTGCTGTTGCTGCTTCTGCTGTCCATTCATTGACGATTACCCATTGCACAGGGGAAGTCATGTTGAGCTGTTGCAGCAGCAGCAACGGATTTGACACTTGCCCAGAAAAAGAGACTGCCTCAGTTCTATCCTCTTTTCTTTCCTCCACTGACCAGCCTCGTCAGTGACACCTTTATTGCCTTCTTTATTGCGGCTTCCTCTCCCTCTCTTCCTCTCTGCTCTCATCCACCTGAAAATCTGCCGCAAAGTCAACATCACTCGCGCGAATGCAGAGCACTTTTTAATATCGTACTGGTAAAACGGAATGGAATGACGGATGAGAGTGACTCTCACTGCATTTCTTTGAAGAGAAAGAGAAAGACTAAAGCCGGCTGAAAAGAAGAAAACGAAAAAAAGAAGAAGGTAAAGAACAAACAGCAGTTGTCGGTGGAAGACAATGAGGAGGAGGGGAAAGAATGGCTGCACTGGAATTTGCCTCTCTCTCTCTCTCTCTCTCTCTCCGCCAACTTTAAATCGCATTTGTCACGCTGTGGATGTTTACTCTACGGATTTGTGTCTCCGACCCCTGTTCGCTCGTTGGTCGGTCGACAGACGAGGACTTGCTGCTGCTGCTGGTCATCGTCCTGCAACCAAACAAAAAGAGCTTAATGATTGACACCTCCACACCTGACCAGGGTAGACCTAGGCACACAATCTCAAACACACACACATTTACTCAATCTCAATCTCAATCTCTCTATCACTGCTCTAGATGTGCACGAGTTAAATTTCAGCACAAACTTGTGAATTGCAGCAGTGTTCGTTGGCAGTGTGTGTGTGCATAGTTTGGCCTGTTGGACACCTCTGCTTCTTTTCTCTGTCCGTAGAGCACACGCGTGCGTCTTTAGGCCCCCTGCCGCCGCCGTCTTTGGTTGTTGGTCTTCACACACTGATCACTACTATACTACTGGCGGAATTTAGCGGAAAGAGAGAGAGAGAGAGCAACTGGCGAAATCGGTGATAGTTACTAGTGCGAATGTGCCACAGTAATGTGTAACCATAAAAAAGGTAGCTCGCTGCGGTAGTCAAACGATTTGTTGCCGATGAGAGAGGGAAAGGGAGAAAGAGAGAGAAGGAAGCTTCTGGGGTCCACACACACACTGCTCGCTCCTTTGGTAAACAAAGAGGTGTTCTATTCAGATCAAAATGGTCAAAAAGAGAGAACTGTGAAGTCAGTCTGGTGTATCTGCGGTGTGCTGACAAATTGGCAGTGTGATTGAAAGAGGAGAGGACAACAACAAAATCTGCAACATTCACTCACCTCCATCACCCCTAATTGGGGGACACTGCCAATCAAATGGTGGTAACACACTAAAATAGAAGGATGATGACGATCATCTCGTGGTCGATGACTGACAACCTTTGACTGCCTCCAAGGAGGTAATTAGAGCAGCAAATCAGAGTGAACACTGCTCATCAGTGGTCACTTTGTCTTCCTCACTGCCCGTTGCACTTAATTAGTGAAAGACTACACGAACTAATTGATAACAGACAGACAGAGAGGGTAACTGCGAGAGAGAGAGAGAGCGACTGCTGGTCAGCCTCCTTTAAACAGTCCCCTTCTTCAGTCACTGCCATTGTCTGCTGCCATTGTGGTTTCAATTTCACAGTGCGACAAGTGTACAAACCACGCAGACAAGATATTCTGTGTTCATGGGCGATGTGTGGTCAGCGAGAATACTGAGGAGGAGGAGGAGGAGGAAGAAAAGGAGGAATAATCGAAGCCGGGTGAGACTAATTCGCAAACTCGTTTTGCCCCAGTGAGCTCTGCACTGTTTGCTCTGGTGCACTGCTGCTGCTGTCAGCGCTAATAGGCTGTGCTTACTGTCTGATTAGGAGATGTCTTATCTACTGTGGACATCTTCTATTATGAGACAGACAAAGGAGTGGTGGTGGTAGTGTGTATGATTCGCTATTGGTCACCACACTCAATGCCGATGGATGAACAAATACACACACACAGCCGTCTCGTCGGCGGCGGCGGTATTGGCCGCCAATGGCTGCTGCCGCTTCTTCTGCCGTCGTTGTCTTCGCTGCAGCTCTGGCTGCACGGCCATAATTGTGGCGCCTGTCAGGCTAAAGTGAAACAAATCGTGACAGCAGAACACAGAAGAGCCAGTAAAAGAGGAGATCACTCGGCCAAATCTTCATCTTCAGCTGCAGCAAGTCTCGAAGGTGGTGCCGACTGCCGCCGGCCTCTCTTCTCCTTACTGCACCGACACAAACTGATGATCACTGATGATTGCCGCCAGAAAGAGAGAGAGAGAGAGACTGACTTCTTCTTCTTCTTCGAGAACGGATCAGCAGAAGCAGGAGCACGGCTATCCTGTACCTTAGACGTCGATGGCGACGATCGTGAGGCGAGCCTTGCCTTTTCAGCAGTGCCCATGTCGAGACGTTATGCGCTTGGCGCCAGACGAACTCTTGATGGCGACTGATCATCGCCATCCACATCGCCATCTTCACCATAGTCATCCTTGACGGTCTGCGCTGGTTTGCACTGTGCACTGGCAGGCGCCACAGTGACGCTGCCGGTCTCTTCGGGTGCAGTAGTCTGCCTCTCTTCTATGAGTGAAAACCAGATCACTACTATTTTACCTGTTTATGTTGCTAATCTGATCAGAATGAAAACTGTCCGGCGATTGCTTCCGCTGTTGTTGATCATCATTCCTGTCAGCAGCATTGGCGTGTGATTCTTGAGTGAGAGAGGGAGAGAGAGAAGACAAATAGTTGAGGGAGAAGTTCTCCAACAGGTGTTTGGCCAGAGGACACGTACTGAAGCAGCTCTCTTCTCAGGTGTTTATTCTGCTCTTTTCGGCACAGTTTCGACAAGCTGACACCTGGGCCTAGTTTGGCCCACACTTGTCGGGTGGTGGTGGTGTCGTCTTCCTCTCTGCTGATTCACACACTGGCTGCCCAACAGGAGCACCACATTCTATGGTCAGTTCGTGTGTGTGGTGGCTTCCAACAAAGACGGCAAAGTCAATTAATGTGTCACCGAAGGTAAGAAAAAGAATGCTGTATCTTCCAAAAAGGCAAGTGTCGACAGTGCCAGTGAAGAAGGAGGAGGTGGTGAACGAGATTAGAAGAAAACGCACCTGAGAATGAGTTCGAAATGAAGGAGAGAGAGGGAGAGATCATGCACCTGGGCCATTTCACGGTCATGGCCATTAGCCACCCCGAGTTGGCCACTTTGGGCACTGTGTTGAGAGAATATTCTTCTGAGGAGGAGAAGGGGAGCACAGCTTTGATTTGTTTACATTCCATCAACACGAAGGGAGGGCGAAGAGTGAGTGTCCGTGTGAGTGTTCATTGAACTGACTGTCCATTCATGCATTCGAATTCCTCTTCTTCTTCTTCTTGGTCAATAAAAGAATACAGGGGCGGTACCAGAGGACGTCAATGGGCTGCACCACAAGGATGTGGCCTAGTGGCGAGTTCAGAGAAGACGCACAGACCTTTGGCCTACATTCGACGGGAGCCCGGAGTAGTTCTAGTAGTCACCAAGTATCTTCAGGATTCTGGAGTCCTCTTTTTATCAAATCAAACCTAAAATCGAACCAGTTCACGGCTTGTGAGGTAGTGCGCCTCGCTAACTCACTCTCACCGCCTCGTCACTTCATGCACACGCTCAGTCTTTCTCTGCTTCGGCCACGCACGTGAGCGACGAGTGCGCGCGCGAGGCAGCCATTCACAGCAGCAGCACCAGCAGAAAAGGCAACGGCAGCGGTGGCGGCAGCAGCGTGCCAGCATTTTTTATCTCAATTTTCGCCTGCTCCGGTCAAGTCCAGTCAAGTCAAAGTCTCTCTCTCTATCTCTTGCGCTGCCAGTCCTCGCCCTCTCCCCTCTCTTGGGTCCCCTGCACAATCCTAGGCCCCTGGATCGCGCAACTCGGTTGCCGCATTGGCTGCCGCAACTGCCTACTGTTTGTTGCGCTTCGACAAACGTTCGCCCTGCCCGTTCTAATCCGCCTTCCTCTACTACGTCTGTTAGTCTCTCGCTCTCTTTCACTCTCTTTCCGCCTCGACACATGGACTTCATTTGAGACTGTGAGAAGGAACGAAGAAGACCATGACCACTGCCATCGCCAATGTTCTCTCGGAAGCACATGTGCACCATGCTCTGATCATCGCCAGTGTACTAAGGCTGACCATCACGCTTCAATGAGTTGTTATCCACGCCGGTTCTTCATCCACCACTAATTGTCTTCTCATCTGGAAGTGGTTTTGTTTTTTCGACACGCATTATCGTTCCATTATCTTTCACTACAATGAATGCAAAACTATCATCGCCAACTTTCTCTTCCACTCGTATCCTCTTTTGGACACCTTCAAAAGACTGTCGCCTATTATACATGCTTTGCTACGCGACCGTTTTCCTCGTTACCGTCGTCGGCATCACTTCAGCCGTTGATCCAGATTTTCAAGTTTCCACAGTTGGCGCTCAACAAACCTCGGCCACCGGTACAAATGCTGACCTACTCTCTTACAAGATGTTCTCCGATGATGCCGGCGCAGATCAAGGGAGCACTGATCAGCGAAAGAGGCCACCTAATGAATTCGACGAACAGCAGCAGTCAAATCTCTCTGGTTCTCGCGTTCAAAGGCACATCAGTCAGCAGGAGAGAAGATCACGCCGGCAGCGGAAAAATCACCACCACCAGGGTCGCCGCCGTCATGGAACGGGCAGTCGGTCAGCGTCACAGCACCAGTACCCACCTCTTCGACCGTTACCAGCGGAGAATGACACCGTCTCCGTGGTAGCCTTCAAAGAGCTGAAGCCCTCAGTCAGTGTGACCATTGGCAAGCCACCGCGGCAGATGTTCACCGGCCACGGGCGTGGATTCTGCAAGGCGGTGCCCTTCTCCCAGCTGGTCAACGTCACCGGCTGCCAGCCCGTCTACATTACCAATCACTACTGCTACGGCGCCTGCAACTCCTTCTACATTCCCTCGGAGAATCACATCAAGTTTCCGCCCTTCACTTCAGTTCAGGGCTGCATTCCGAAGCGCTTCTCCACAAAGTTAGTAAAGCTGACCTGTGGTGGTGGTGGTGGTGGTGGCTACGATCAGATCTCATCAGACGGTGAGGATGACAATCGAATTGTTAGAGACTCGAGTGGAGCTATTGGCGGAGCGGTAACCATTAGGAAGCTCAAGGTAAAAGTGGTCACAAAGTGTAAATGTTCCAAAATAGACGTCAAGATTTAAAGACTGATTTTGTGCTTTCTATTTCTTGAACTGTCGCCCACCTAGCGCGGAACCTATCTAGTGAATCTTGTCTTTTTTTCTTAGTGAACACACTCAACCTATACTTCTTTCCCATTTCTTTGATTATTGTCTTCATCTTTAACTTTCTCATCTTTCAAATCCCATCAGTTCATCCACTCACCCACTATCTTTCATGCTTTCTTTCATTCTCCACTTTTCGAGTAGAAAGCTCTGCTTTCTTTAAAAATCGAGAGAGATTTCCTTAATTCTTATAACATTTTTTCAATTTTTTCCCTCACATCTTTCTTTTTGCACTGCTGTTTATATTTTTTTGTGTAAATTATTTCTCCTTTTCACCTCATTTTCACTTTCAATCTTCTTTTTGTTATTACTATCTTTTTTGTTGTTGTTCATGTGGATCGACATGCATGGCTGATTTGCATGCATGCTCATCTGTGTGTCACCGCCTTGTTTTTTCGTGAATATCGAACAACACTTTTTCTTCATTTTTCTGTTTAATAAATATTCTTGAGCGCTCTAAAAGTATCGTTTGAGACTGATTTGTTGAAACTGTCTTCACTTGACTGATCTTCCTTCACCTGCCTTGATGATTTGTTTGCTAAAATTAGCCACAGTTTCGGTCGATTTTCTTTTATATAAACAGGCGAGAAGTGTGACACCACTACGCAGTCAACTTTCGATTGCCATTAAATCCACTTTTTCTCCTTGAAATGCTCACTAGTTCGTCACAAAGTTTTCTGTTCGTTTTAGCGGTTTTTTCATATCTTCTTGTCACCATCACACAGGCCAAACCATCATTGTCGAATCTGCTCAGTGACCACTGCCTGAGATGCCTTTGTGCGGTAAAAATTTGTTTCTTAGTTGTGAAAGATGCAGATAATGTTAGTGGTCTCCTTTTCAGGCATCAAGTGACTGTCGTCCTGATGGTCGTTGTCGTGTAATTGACCCTGATGCCTACCTCTGTGGCCCCTATCGCCTGAATGAGGCCTACTGGTCAGCTGCAGGTAGCCAGGCGCCGGCGAAAAGCTCTATCCTATGGCGAAATAATCCACTTGGTAAGATTAAATGCTTTTTACTTTAATTTGTAGTTCATCTTACCCATTCCTACCCTTTTAGCCTTCGAAATGTGCGCCCACGACCTGCAGTGCTCCATCTCCACCGTACTGCGCTACCTGCACGCCTACCTCAAGCGGTGTCACCTGCTGCAGTCTGACTCGGGCACAAAGTGCATGCTGGCCGCCTTCGTCCACTACCGAGCCGTCTACCTCGGTCCGGAGACGGAGCAGCGGTACTACGACGACGAGCTGCCCGCAGACCTGGGACCGGCGGTCAGCTCGCTCTCCTGCCACCTCAACGCCAGCAGCCTCTCCGATGAGCTGGCCAGCCTGCTGGAGATTGCCCCTGCTGCCCGCTCCGATGACAACTACTGGCGCCGATTTGATGAGTGCTCCGCGGATGAGGTGCGAGACTGTGGCCTGTACCTGGGACCGGTGGCACGGCGAAAAGCAGTGCCACGGCTTTAGCCGGTATTATACCGTGTAATGTACTTTTTTGCCGCTGACCAATTTGTCCTCAAGTGCTGAAAGCTCTCTAGTTACGTTCACATTTTGGTGCAGCCTTTTTATCTGCTAAAGTGCTTCAGAGCTGGATGCACGATTGCTAACAATCATCTCGTTCATGCCAAAAAAACTGATAAGGTTAAAGATACCTTGTGGTAGGGAACATGGTAGTTTCCTGTCATTGGAAGTATATACCTGAATTCGGAAAATTTAAATCTATGTTTGTTGATGGCCAATTTTTTTGGAAGTAACCAGAAGGTTTAAATTTCCACTTAATTATCGTCGAGTAACTTGAGAATACAGTAATCAGTCTTCACCAGCTCGTGTGATGTCAATCCTCTTTCGTCCTCTCCTTCGCCTGCCTCTCCTAACCATTATCTAATCATCCTCTACATTTCATTTATCAAGCCGAGAATGATATCTGTAGGCCTTAACACAGTGTTCCCAATTTGTGTGTGCATTTAAATAAAACACTATGACCTAACTGGCTAGCCAATGTTGATACTGTGATCTCAGCAGGCAGACATGGCATTCAAGTTACTTCGTTCCAATTTGGCGCTGACTTTGCCGCAAACCAGACCGAGGGCCACCTTACTACCAGTAAGTGTTCGTTTGTTGTCCACAAGGCCACGCAAACAATGGCAGTTGCACGAACCACACCAAATCAGCTACGAACAGGGCCTGCCAAAGGACAGCACAGTCAGTCGCTTCAACGCGTCCACCTTGGGAGAGCTGCTGGAGAAGGCAACGCTGGAGACGCCCGAAAAGACGCTCTTCATTGTTCACCACCAGAATTTGGCTAAAACATATCAACAGTTTAATGATGATGTAAGTGTGGATGCTTTTTTGTGCAGTTTTAACACATCAATTAATTTACCAACAGGTTGACCAGCTGGCAAAAGGCCTTCTGGCCATTGGTTGTCGCCGAGGTGACCCTGTGGGCATCTGGGCGGTGAACTCCTACGAGTGGCTACTAGTTCAGTTTGCCACTGCCAAGATTGGCGTCATCTTCGTGACCATCAATCCGGGGTACAAAGCACAGGAGCTGGTCAACTGCATCAACCTGGTCGGCCTGAAGACGCTCATCAGCAATCAGCACTTTCGCACATCAAACTATGTTGAAACACTAAACACAGTATCACCCTCATTACTCTCAACCGCCAAAGGATGTAAAGTTCAGTCAAAAGAGTAAGAAGATTTTTTCAGAAAACAACACTACAATCATTTACAACTTTCTTTTAGATTGCCATCTCTAGAGAATCTCATCTTCATGGACGAAGNGAGATTTTTTTCAGAAAACAACAATACAATCATTTGCAACTTTTTCTTAGATTGCCATCTCTAGAAAATCTCATCTTCATGGACGAAGCTGAAGAGACTGCACCCTCAAATGTGNAAGATTTTTTCAGAAAACAACACTACAATCATTTACAACTTTCTTTTAGATTGCCATCTCTAGAGAATCTCATCTTCATGGACGAAGCTGAAGAGACTGCACCCTCATATGTGATGCGCTTTTCGGAGCTCCTTGACAAGGGAGCAGGCGATAAAAAACTGTCAGAGCTGATTGAGCCCAAAGAGCGCACCACATTTGACGATGTGATCAATGTGCAATTCACATCGGGAACAACAGGTGAGATTTACCCAAATAAAAAGTGCATTTCTTAAACTTTTTTATCTTTGTTTCAAGGCACACCAAAGGGAGCTATGCTGAATCACAGCAACATTGTCAACAATGCCCACTTTCTGGCGCCGCGAATGTACGAAGGGTATGAGCACCACGCCAGTAGAGCCTCCGACCCGATCATCTGTGTGCC